GGCACCTGAGGAACTAAGGAAGGGTTGCGACAGCTGTGAAAGTGCATGAGAATGTCATGAGAAAGGGGGAAAAGCATAGCTAATGGCAGAAAAGCGTAGCTAATAATCAACCGCGCGCTGAAAAATATATTTTACAATGCGCTGTAACCATGGGTACGGCGGATTACGCTGGAAGAGCACACCATACATGAAACATCCCGAAGATTATAGTAAGGACATTATTTCCAATCAATTAAACTAAGAAGTTTGAGAAGAATAATCCTCGTCACATTGTGAATAGAAAAAGCGATAAAACGTAGCTTCCTGAAGCAAGAATTGCGTCTTAGAAATATGCGAATACGTGAAAATGTTCGATGAGGAGAAAATTAGAGCCAGAAAATCGAGGTGCTCACTAAAACGCTATATATATAACAGGGTACTGTTTTTTCAGGTACAGATTAAAGAAAAATAAATACAAACCATATTGAGACAGAACACTGCCAAAGAAAACGAGCATAAATTGAACAAGACATGGCGAAAGATGCAACTGTGAAGAAGAGTAAAGCGGAAAATAGGGAAACGAAATCAATAGAGAAAATGACTCAGTAAGGAACACGATATATGAGGATGCAACTGTTTACGAATAAAATAAAATGGCTAAAAGGTGCAGAAACGGCTGCTCTTAAATGATATAACACAATGATAAAACGATGAAGGACACAGATAAAACTATCAAATGGTATAGTAAAGAAGACGGACATAGCAAAATTCAGGCAATACAATTAACTACTTGCATTTAAAACAGCAACTTAAAAACTCTTCACGAGACGGAAGCCGTGTTTGATAGGAGGTAAAAAAATAAATGTGGTAAATAACACAGGCATGATCAAGATAAGAGGCTTCGGAGGAAAGGAAAGTTTGTAACAATTAAAATGCCGGTCTTCTTAACATTTTCTTGATGGTGTAATTCTGGCGTTTTTTTTCATGAAGTTAGTGGTTAGGGGGGGGGGCGATTTCCATTTCAATGCCATCAGCAAGTAGAGCTTTCTATTAGGGTGGAGCCGACAACAGCAGGACAAGCATGGCACGTGATCTCGCGTTTCCCTCTCAATTATCAACCTCTGAAGGAAGAAAGGTGAGTGACCCCGCCGAGGATGAAACTTGGCACCTGCCGGCTGTAAGAACGATACACTACGGACTGAGCCACCCGGGTCTGATGCAACCTGTAGTAATTTACAGACATGATGTAGACGTTCAGAAAACGTGTAATAAGGTAGCGGTTGGAGAAAAGGCGAAAGAAAACAAGCGTGAAACAGTTAATAGCAAACTGGGAGATAGAATGCAGCCGAAAGCATCAAAAGAATGCTCAACAACTCGAAGTGCGTAATAGGAGCAACACAGACGTGGAAACGTCGACGGACGGAAGTCCCAGTACCGGCATTCAAGCAAAGCGTGAATTATGGAGTAAACATTATTGACAGAGATGAATATAGGTGCTAATAACTGAATGAAAACGGCGTTGAATTTCGCGCATTTCTCTCATTTGCAGGAATGGAGTAAGACGTCTTCGATTTGGCGATTGGATGGAACAACTACTTGCAAATCTCAAAAGTTTACTATCGTTAGTTGCGGAAATTTCAAGATTTTCGCATATGAAAGACATTTGTTTTCACAATAATTTTTAAGGTTAGGGAGCTAAAATACTTACGTTTGCCGTAATTCAGCATTTCGCATTGCTAAGAAATAAAATTTGATCGCTGGTACACTTTTCTAGGATTCTGTTTTAGCAATTTTATTGGCATTCCTCAGTCCACATGTTTTACCATGAATCGTTATGTAGTGGTAGTGTTTCGAAATGCGTACATAGTTTTCAATGCGCATTCAAGATATTATTAAATACCTGTTTTGTTATTTGAAATTAACAGAGGTTAAGTA